AGTCAGGTTCAATTTTTTTTGGCAAGACTCAGGTATCACCTCTTCTGAGAAACCTCTGATTCCTCCAGGTAATGAGTCACTCAGCTTCTTGTCTGGGAGCCCTCTGTGTGTCTCACACCACAGCTGGGACGCCCCTTAGCTGGGACAGTGTCTCATGTCTGTGTTTCCAGCACCTGGTACAAAGACAGAGCCCTAAGGGTTGAAGGGTTGGGGAAGTCTTTTCTGAGGAGGTGGCATCGTGACTGGGCTCTGGAGGATGAATAGGAGTTTGCCAGAGTACCACAAGATCTTGGGTGTTTCTGCCCTCATTCAGTCATCTTTGACCTTCAAGCATCATGATCCAGGTTGCAGCTGAGCAGCCAGGGGTGCTTTCCTTTCCCCTTGGTCCCTCTAACTTTGCATGTAAAGTGGAATTTTGAATTAAGAAACAAATACTCGGGCCGTCCCTGTGGCTTAGCGGTTAAGTGCGTGCGCTCCGCTGCTGGCGGCCCAGGTTCGGATCCTGGGCTCGCACCGACGCAACGCTTCTCCGGCCATGCTGAGGCCGCGTCCCACATACAGCAACTAGACGGATGTGCAGCTATGACATACAACTATCTACTGGGGCTTTGGGGGAAAAAATAAATAAATAAAAATTATAAAAAAAAAAAGAAACAAATACTCATTCTCTGTAGAGAATTCACTCTTGATCAATAGGAAAAGCACATAGCAACCACAACCACCAGGCTTCACCTCAGTACTCAGGCTGCGGGGGCAGCGGAGGGACACAGACTCACACCATCAATGGTTGGATCCCCAGGAGACAGACTCCTGGTTCTTCTGGACTACGGGCTCTCACACTTTCCAGGCACTTACCCTGCCCACTGAAAGCCTTTCAGGGACCCCTGAGTGGGACGGCTGGAACTCAGGCCAGTAGGGCTCTTGTATGGCCTCACTTCCCAGGAGCTGCCCACCACCTACGTCACCCCCTATGTCATGGTCAGAGGGCGCAGCCCAAACAGAGAGGGTCAGACCACCTGCCTCCTCCCCACCCCCATCAGGCAGGAAAACTGAGTCCAGCTCGGAGAACTGCCTTGGCATGGCTGAAATATTATTACACCTGGAGAGAATCTACTCCTTTGTGGGGAATTGACCCCTCTGCTGCTTCTTGCGGGCAAGAGTTGTGTCTTCTCTTCTCAAATGACCTAGACAGATAAAGGGGCTCCTTGTATGTTGGCTGAATGAATGAAGGTGAACAACAGAAAGAAGTGAGCAACTTCTCTTCCTGCAGTTACGGAGCAGTCAAGATGGGAGAAATCACAGAAAATCACATCCCATTTTTCCAGTGACAAAACAGAGGCCCAGAGGCAGAGACTGACTTACTGAAGGTTGCACAGGAGTGAGGGACTGAAACAGGTCCTGAACGTTGACACGACCAGTGATCCCGCTGTGGCTTTTCTGCAGTAATGATTTCATGCCCAGCCTGTCTCTCCCCCGAGCTCTGGGGCTCGCCCTCTGTCCAAGCCATCTGGGCCACGAAAAACACAATCCTTGTAAATTGCCATCTGAGCAAAAGATGCGGAGAAAAAAGCCCCGTGAATTCCATAGCCACATACAGAAAACTTCAGACTATTTGAAGCCCTCTTCTCCCTCTGGTCACTAGGATCCCTGTGTCTTCTGTCGAGCTCTTTCTGACTGATGGCAGGAAGCTGAAAAGAACCCAGAACAATCGTGACTGTAGAAGTAGATCTGCTAGGCTGGATGGTCCAGAGGAGGACATTGAGTGGAAAGAGCTCAGTACAGAGTGACCTTGAGTAAGTCATTTCATCTCCCCAAGCCCAGGGTTTCTCGTTCTGGCCCTGCTGCTCCGTAGCACTTGAAGTGTTGCTGGAGGTATGGCAGGTGTTTGTTATTAGCAGAGACTCGATACTGTAACATGGTGCTCATATTAAATACCCTGAGTGGTTTGGGCATTGGAGGCCACAGTGAATGTTGGCCCTCTGCCCTTGGGAGAGGTGGTCACCTTCCAAAAGGACACTGGTGAAATCAACAGGTCTTTGAAGGAGTGCCTCTGTCTGGGGCTCAGCCCGAGGGGGCCCTGGGGAGGGTTCAGGGCAGCCAAGCCCACCCAATAATGGCAAAGCTGGGTTCTCAGGGCAGGGTATGCAGGACTGAGAGGCACTCGGCAGATGTTTACCGAGTGTGCACTATGTGCCAGGTGCTGGGAGACAGTATGTGTGAAAGAGACAGAAATTCCCACCCCCGTGGAGCTTACATTCTGGGAGTTGCTGCAAAGAACAGCAGCAGGGGGGCAGAATATACTCCAATGAGTAAAATATGTGGCATCTTAGAGGGGACAGGGCTACGGCGGGAAAACAAGCTGCATTGGAGGATAAGAAGTGATGGGGAAGGGGACTGCAGTTTAGTAATTTTATTTATTTATTTCGTTTTCCCCAAAGCCCCAGTAGATAGTTGTATGTCATAGTTGCACATCCTTCTAGTTGCTGTATGTGGGATGCGGCCTCAGCATGGCTGGAGAAGCGGTGCGTCGGTGCACACCCGGGATCCGAACCCCGGGCCACCAGCAGCGGAGCAGGCGCACTTAACTGCTAAGCCACGGGGCCGGCCCTGGGGGGCTGCAGTTTAAAACAGGGTAGCCAGGGAAAGCCTAAGGAAGAATCTAGAAAGAGGGGAGCCAGAGAACAAGGTCAGTGCCTCCAGCTCTATGGGATTTTGTCCCAGAGGTAAGTTGATCCCTCCCAGCCACGGAGATGGATGTGTGGGGCAGTCTGGCAGGGTGACCAGGACATTACGACTATCCATGACACCCTGCATCCCCACCCCTGCCTTGGGGACTCTGAGCCCAGCTTGCTAAGGAGCCCGACTCCTGGGGGTCATTTATGGGGGGCAAAAAAGGCAGAGGCCATGGGGCTGACTTGACGAGGTAGACTACATTGTGGGAAGGACAAATGTGGCATGAATGCCCTGGAGACTGGGCCTGTCTGAGATGATTACTTGGTGCGGGCTGGTATAAAGTGCACTAGACCACGGAGGTGTTGGGTGGAGAGCGGCTGGTCTCAGGGCTGCATTTATTGGCCGAGCGACCCTGAAGTAATTTCACCTGTAAAACGTGTGTAATAATAATACCTCCATCCTAGGGTCATTGTGAGACTGTAAGGAGAAGCTCTCAGCACAGGGTCTTGGCACCTAGAAATTTCTCATCCCCATCATGGCATGTTCTCTAAGGCAGTATTTTTCAAATTGCAGGAGATAACCCATGAATGGATCATGAAATAAATTTAACAGCTTGCAAGCAGCATTTTTTTTAATAGAACAGAATAGGATAACAAAATACATTTGAGCATATAAGCACTGTTTCATAAAAACATTTTATATACACATATAGATGTAGATATTTCCTACCACGGGGCATGATGGAAAATTCACGAGCTACTGTTCTAAGGCAGTGTTTCTCCAAAGATGGTCATAGGGGTGTTTTTCTAACTTTAGTAATTCACATGCCTCTGTCACCGTTTTTTTGGGGGGGAGGGGGTGGGGAGGAAGATTGGCCCTTCACTAACATCCGTGCCCATCTTCGTCTACTTTATATGTGGGATGCCTGCCACAGCAGGCTCATCACTGGCTTGATGAGCGGTGCGTAGGTTCGCACCCAGATCTGAACGTGCAAACCCCGGGCCGCTGAAGCTCGAGCGAACTTAACCACTACGCCACCAGGCCGGCGCCCATTGTCACCATTTTTGCCATATCAGAATACCACTTGTACCATTATGTACTAAATACTTGTCTTGGAGTTGGCCCACTTTAACCATGTTAGCCTCATCGTAACAACAATATTCATGAAATTTACATTTAAAAATATAAAGTGTTTTTTAACCTGAAACCATCTCACGTATGAGCACCACATTTTAGGGAACACTGCTGGTGAAGAGTGTCATTGTGAACGCGTTTTCTCAAAGCTGGAGGCCAACACAACTGAGACATGGACGAGTCCTGGCCCCTCTCCGGGTCCCTTTCTGCCCCTGGAGGCAGCCCAGTCCCACTGCCCAGCTTTCCGAGTTCTTGTGGTTCACCTTCCCACAGGGGCCACCTCAAGAAGCAAAGGACAGGCCCTGTCTGTTTGTGGACTGGCTCCGGATCTTTCTTGGGATGTAACCCCAGTGCAGGAGGCCAGGGCCCTAGTATTAACTTTCTCTTGTGAGCTTCGTTGTGCCACTGCACCAAGTTTGCAGAATTTCCTTTCTTGTCCAGCTTTGATTCCATTGATGGGATTAGGTGCCCCCCACGGCCTTGTCCTTTGATGTGGTCAGCGGGTAGCAGGGAGGTTTCAAGCTCAGGGAGCAAATCTTAATCTTCTGCGGGCTTCTCTGGGATCAGAGCTGGGGTAAACCCATTACATCCCTGCCCTTTCATCCCCCCAGGACACCGGCTTCTCCAGGCTCCTCGAGTCTCAGAGATCCAAAGGGTTTGTCAGATTTAGAGAAAGCAATAAAAGGGGAAGAGAAAGCAGAGCACGAACCCCAGACCCCCTCCAGCACCAGCAGCATCACCAGCAATGTCCAGGGCATCTTCCTCTTTCTTCCTTCTAATCCTGGGCTCCCACAAAATGGGGATTACAGAGGCTTGGGGCTGGCGGCCTGACCTGCCCTAGCACTGGACACCTCTGCCAGCACCTGGCTGCCATCTGCCCTCCATCCCTCCCAGAGCTGCTCTCTCCTGATGTGGGGGCGTGGGAGGAGCGGCCAATTGAGCAGATAAACCACTCAACTCCCACCGCAGTGAGGTTTCAAGGCACGATTTGGGTTGGTGAGGCCAGGAAAGAGAAGACAGGAATAAAGCCAACACCTATGTCAGGCCACAAACAGGTATGTCTTATTTTCTTTAAATTAAATCTGACTTCAAGGCTCCATCTGAAGAGAAGCGAGGGAAGTCAAACTCAGTCTTTATTTGGGCTTCCCCGTCCCTTCTCTTCCGTGGTCCCCGGAGTCCTGGCCATCTCCAGGATGCGGATCTTGGCGGAGGCCCATGGACACTCCAGACTGGTCTCAGATAAGGCACGCAGTTACTCCTCCACATCCTGGCGTCTCCAGAGAGAGGGTGAGGCAGCACGTCCCCAACAAAGGGGATTCCACCGACCTCCGACAGCTCCCTAATCTTGGGAAAGCTCCCCCTCGGCCTCGAAGTTTTTCTGTACCACCGTTCCTCCCCACAGTGCCCCTGAAGGAACTCAGGTTTCCAGAAAGCACAGCCAGGAAGAGGTTGTCTGCCGGCAACTGGAAACGGAGTGGAACACACAAAATTAACATCTCAAAAAAGCATGCTGCGAGGTACCATGCTGGGCGCCTTCCGTTTGTCATCTCGTTGGTTCGCCTCCAGGGCCCCGCAAGAAGGGCCAGCGGGGCGCCAGGTTCCAGACGGGGAGGTTGAGGCCGGCCGCGGGAGCGCTCCATCGGGCCGGGACAGGGCCCTGGAGCAGAGCGGCCGGCAGGGGGCTCTCGGCGCCGGCCTTCGCGGGAGGAAGCGCTGGCAGCGGCTCGGACCGGTCAGAGGAGGAACAGGGAAAATTACTGGAGCTCGGGGGCGGGAAGGGCTGCGTGACTGGGAGGAAGGCACTCGAGGCTGTCGAGTCGGGCGGCCCGCGTCTGGCCCGGTTCCCCGAGGCGGCTCGGGCAGTCCGGGAGAGGAGCCCCGGGCTGCCCCCACCCGCGCCCGGGCGTCCTCCCGCGGGCGCCGCGGGCTGGAGCTGCCCCGGCCCAGGTCAGAGCTGCCCCTCCCTCACCTCTCCACCGCCACTCCTTCCTCTTCTCCATCTCTCCTCCCTCCAGACCCCTACGTCCTCCCTCCTTCCCCTGCTCCCCACCTTTCGGTCCTGAGTCTTCCTCCCTGCATCCTGCCCCCTACCCGGGCCCGGTCTCCATCTTTCCGGGCTGGGTCTTCCCCACACCAGCCGCATCCTCCCTGGCAGTGCCTCCCCTGAGCCCCCTCCATCTCGTCTCTCCAGCCTAATGGTGCTTCCAGCCCTGGAGGCTTCAGACCCTGCACCGCCTCCGGCCCCGAAGGCTTATGAGCGCGGGGCGAGGGTGGGGTGGACAAGGTCCAGTGAGAGAATGGAGGCGAGGGGAGAGGCTCCGCCCCAGAACCCCTTCCCACACGCACCCCCCCATCACCTCTTCCTCCAGCCTCTTCTTTACTGGCTCCTGCCCTCTCTCTTCCATCCTTGCCCATCTCCTCCCTGTCCCCTCTGGACTAAAGAGACACACACCCTTTCTGTATGTGCAAGGGAGAGGAGCCTGGAACAGGGGGTGCTGAGGAGGTTGGGCAGCTCAGGGCGGGGTCCCTGCAGGCCCAGAGGGTCTGCTGAGGGAGGGGAGTCTCAGGGCTGGGCAGAGGGAGCCAAGCACTTCCACGGGGATTAAAAACCCCAGGGTTCCAAAGAGCTAGAAGGCGTGTCCCAGTCTCTACCCCCTGCCCCCCCCCCGCATCCCACAATCCTTTCTCTCTCCCTGCTCACAGGACCCACAGTGACCACTTTAGGCTCCTATGAGGTGTCTGAGGGTTGTGAGAGGAAGAAAGGCCAACGCTGGGGGTCCCTGGAAAGGCGGGGGATGCAAGCTATGGAGGGTGAGTTTTCCCAAAAAGCTTTCTTTCTCTCCCCTTCACCCAATTTCCCTTTCCTCCTTCCTCCCTCTGACCCCAGAACTCTGAGCCAGGGCACAGCCCTTTCCCCAGTTCACCTGAGCCCCCTCCACCCTTCAGGTCTGAGCTCCACCCCTCCTCAGGGCTCAGGCTTTGAGGGAGGTTCTGGGTGCATCCCTTTGGGGCCCTAATCACCAGCTAACCAGGTTGTGTGTCCCCGGGGGGAGCTGCCAGACAGAGAAAGAGGCCTTGCTGGACAGAGCTTTGAAGCAGCCTTTCAGCAGGGGGTTTGTTCTCACTGCCTGACCTAGATCCCAAGCTGTCTCTTATTTTGAAAAGCAGGGACCTGAGCATGTGAATTGTTTTTCTGGTGCCACCAGCACTAACTTTGAATGCAAGCCTTGTGGCTTTGGTTCTCTAGGATAGCTTACTGCCTGAAAGAGATTGCCTGGGAGAGGGCCAGGTGAGAAGGCCAACACTCATGTATCCCCACCACACCCATGCAACTTGGCAGTTGCTGCCAACACGAGGCCCCTGGAAGGATGCTGGTCTGTTTTCCAGAACTTTTTGTGAGGTGTCCCTGGGCCCCTGTGCACACTCAGTGTGCGCAACCCTGCTTCCCCAAGAGGGACAGATAATGCCAAGGGTCCCAGATGAACCCTAGGCAGCTGTTATTGGAGAAAGTAAGGCCAGGGATTCAGAATTTTAAAACAAAGCAAGCAACTACCATCCAGACAAGATTTTGCTATTTAGAAGAACTGCATTGCAGCAAAGGAGGGGGTGCTCGCCAACCAGAGACTAGGGACCAGCACACCCCAGTTTCTTAATGCATTAAAATGACAGGGTTTCTTTTACACACAGGTACAACCTCAGACTTCCCCTGAAAACTGCCTGGTGGTCAGCAGGGGAGGAGGGGCCTCACAGGCTCCAGAGGGGAGAGGAGACCTCTCCTTTTCCACAAGGCTATTTGACAGAACACATTTGGAAGGGGCCCTAGTGTTTGCCCAGTGAAACATTTAGAATCATTTCATTCAGAGGTTTTCTTTCTCCATGTACTGACAGGCAATGCTTTCTTATTATGGAAAGGCTAATTCCTCACAAGCCACCTGGATAATTTTTTTACTTCCTACAAACCTCCAAACTGCAACTTTTGCCCCATTTTGCCTAAAGACACACCCAGTGTGTCCCACTACCCAGAGACTAGCACTGGGAGAAGCAGGTATTGTTGTGCAGGCTTCACATGGCTGAGCCAGCACTCGGCTGCTCAGTTTGTGCAAAGGCAGTATTAGGAGGCCACCAGGTGCAATACTGACCCAGAAAGGGCTGGGAGGAGGATGGGCTACCTCCAAACTTGACCCTTACACCTGAGGACTCATCATGAGTGCAGGTCCCCCTCAGGGGCTCCTTGGGGGACACCAGGTGGCACTATTATACCATCTCTGCCCTGGCACAGTGAGTTGAGGGCCCTCCACGTGGAAAGGAAGTTGGCTCTGACTCCATGGCGGGATGGGTGTCTCTGCTAGGGGAAGTGTTACTCCCAGCTCTCTATGAGGAGGAAGAGGAGGAGGAAGAGGAGGAAGAAGAGGTAGAAGAAGAGGAAGATCAAGTGCAGAAAGGTGGCAGTGTGGGCTCCCTGTCTGTTGGCAAGCACCGGGGCTTGAGCCTCACGGAGACGGAGCTGGAGGAGCTGAGGGCTCAGGTGCTACAGCTAGTGGCAGAGCTGGAAGAGACCCGGGAACTGGCAGGGCAGCATGAGGACGACTCCCTGGAGCTGCAGGGTGAGTGCCCGTGATGGGACCAGAGGGCTGGGGCCCAAAGGCTCTGTGCTCACTGGATCCCAGGCCTGAGGCCATCTCCCCATCTCTCTGCAGGCCTCCTAGAGGATGAACGGCTGGCCAGTGCCCAGCAGGCAGAGGTGTTCACCAAACAGATCCAACAGCTCCAAGGTAATTCCCGGCACTCGGACTGCAGGGCAGGTGGCCATCCAAGTACTTTTGTACTGAGGGTTTAGCTGAAGCAGAGCAGACAAACATAACCTAATTCAGTACTTTCTCCTCATTTTTCTCTACTATCTCACCCTTTTCTCCTTGTCTCTCCATTGTTCTCTTTACCTAATGTTTTTTCTTTTTTGCATCTCTGCCTGGCTTTTCTGTCCTCTCCTGCCCTTTTTTCTCTTCCATTTCACCCCTTCTCCCTGAGTCTAACTCTTTCCTTTTTCTCTCCTCCAGCTTCCTCCCTTCACACCTGCATCCCTTTTCCTTTGTTCTGGTCAGTGCCTGGGCTAGGTAATCAGGGCTGAATTCCAAACCAGACTGCTTTCCCCCATCCCTCCAAGGGCACCGTGGGCAGAGCGGTGAGCCAATGAGAAGTGACTAGAGGGGACTCTATGTATCTTCTAAGGGAAGCAGATGGGAATGCTTCTTTTGCTCCCTAGGACCGAGCTTGTGGCCCCAAAATCCCTTTATTCTAACGCCCACATCCCTTTGTCTCTGGGAAGCAGCAACACAGGTGGCCCTCCACAGCACTGCCAAATAAAGAGGCAGCTTTTCTTACTTCTGTGGGCTTCCGGAAGGTTTAGGGGAGCTGCCCTAGAAAACAGCAGGGACTCTCCAGGGCAAACTGAGATCAAGCCAAAAGGAAAGTATAAATGGAGAAAAAAGGAAGGCTGGGAACCAGGGCTGGAGAGGAGCAAGCAAAGGTGGAGGAGGAGGAGGGAAAGAAGATGTAAGCAAAGGTAGATGCAGCAGAAGTAGACAGTAAACGAGGGGAAGGCAGAGGAGAGAAATGGCACAGAGAAAAGAGTATGAGCATTGGTCTCAGGTCACCTAGATTCTTTTTTTTTTTTTTTTTGTGAGGAAGATCAGCCCT